TTGAATTGATTTTTATTAAAAGGATAAACATATGCACGATCTTAATTGTTGAATTATTATGTTTATTCTTGTGCTACAATGGAGTACCACTCAGCGTCAATGCTGAGCGGATAGCGTTGTTTTCCTTTTTGCTGTCCGTAGGTGAACAGACAGATGAACCTAGAGCCGATCCCAGAGGGCATTGAGGAGGAGATGTACGATGGCGTGGCTGTCTCTTTTATCTGTTGATTATGCTTTATTTAATTAACTTTAATGCTTATTACGTTTTCGGGCAAGATTCCAAGTTGTTTGACTTTAAAAAGGCTTCCGCATTATTTTAAATTACTCCGATGAATTTTTATATGTATTGATAGAACGTTTGTTTAAAATTGTTTTGAAAATGTCGCAAATTCGGATACCAATTCAGTGACACACCGGTCCGCTGTCTCACGGGTTTGGGTCATGCGGGTTAGGGTGTTACATTTTGGTATCGGAGCATTTGGTTTTAAAATCGGTCTTTGGACCCTTTCAAAAAAATAATAATATATACAATGAATAATTCAGCCGCATCTGCATCTCACGTAACTCCTCTGCCCCGGGAAGGTAATAAGTATTTATAGCTTTATCTGTTATATGTTAAGATCTGACGTGAGAATTTCCTTATTATTTTAGAATGAGTCAAGAATCGACCCACGGTCAGTACGTTCCGGAGCCGGAGCACGTGAGCGTGCACACGGCGAGCACCGAGGGTTCGAGTTTCACGCCTCCGGGTGACGGAGGGCAACGACAGAATCCACCTTAGCCAGCGGGACAGCCATCAGCTGTACCACCGCCAGTCGTACCACCTCCAGTGATGCCACCGTTGGCGATACCGCCGGTGGCCTACGAGCAGATGTTCCCGGCCATGATGGCCCATTATATGCAGCACATGGCGCAGTTTATGCCCATGTTCCAGCCAGCGCCACCACCACAGCCGCAGCCGCGCATCGTTACCTTCAAGGCGTTGAAGGATAACGGAGCGGAAGAGTTTCGAGGAGACAAGATGGGGGAGCCCCAGATTGCATTGGATTGGCTTGAGCAGATGGACCGGGTACTCAAGAATTTGAGAGTCCCAGATGCTGATTGCTCGGAGTTGGCGTCACAGATGTTCCGGAAGGGAGCATATGATTGGTGAAAGCGCATTGACCAGGATCCACACACGCCCAAGCCGTGGACCTGGGATCGCTTCGATCGAGCCTTCACGAAGGTGTACGTCCCCACCCGGTATCGCGAGGAGAGGCGCGGTGAGTTCGTTGCGCTTAAGCAAGAGGGGATGTCACTGCCTGAACTGAGACAGAGGTTCGACTACCTGTCCCAGTATGCGACGAGTCTGGTCTCCACTCCGGAGGATCGTTTGAATGAGTTCGTCAAGAAGCTACGGCCGGACTTAAGGCCGTACGCCGCACTGATCACGACGACAGATTTTAATGCGGCGTATGATTTGATTGTGAAGACGGAAAAGAGCTTGGACGATCTGCAGGCAACCAAGAAAGAGGATCGAGCGACGAAAGACCCGCGACCCGTGGCCAGCACCGGGCCGAGCGGGAAGAGTTTTGGATTCGGGGGAAAGAGGTACGAGAAGGGTTCTTCGAGTGCGCCACCGCCTAAGAGGAGTAAGTCGAGGTCGTCTCCGTCGGCCGCCGCTAGCAACTCGAACAGAACGAGGAGCCACCCGCAATGTGTACATTGTGGTAGACATCACCCGGGCGAGTGTTGGCTCACCCAAGGCTTATGTTTGGGTTGTGGTCAGCCAGGGCATTTCAGGAGGCATTGCCCGACAAACCCTAGCAGCGAGCCTATTTTACCTAGAGCTCTGGATCAGCCTGCCGCATCACATCCAGCACGGAGTCAGCAGTCTACGGTCGCAAATAATCAACAGAGACCACGTCCGCAGCAGTCAGGCCGGGCACCAGCGCGTACCTACGCCATGCATGGGCGCACAGATCCTAGCCCCGATGTTATCTTGGGTACGTTCATACTATTTGATTCGGTTATGCATGCCTTGATTGATCCGGGTTCCACGCTCTCCTATATCTGTGTTGGCATGCCTGCTAATTCTGCGATTGTGAGGAGTGACCTTGAGATACCTACCGTTGTATCGAATCCGCTAGGACATAGCATGCGTCTTCATCACATTTATCATAGATGTCCGTTGTCCG